ATATTATTTATAAATTGTAATTTAATACTAAGAGTGATCAAGTATTCTGTTCTGTCAGATTATTCATTTAGTCAACTCTTATACCCCAATTTGAATTCTGTGTATGTTCCCATCACTAGAACATGCGAGTCAGGGACATGTTTCCATTAGATTTAGAATTAGTATCATGAGCTTTTACTGGAACAATGAATTTTGTGATTAATTTTCCAAAGCAAATCCTACAGAACTTCCACAGAGAATAACAATTCCTCTACCTCACAAGAGCAACAGAAAAAAAAAGTCCCAGATACTACCACTACCCCAACTTCCTTAATCTTATGAAAGAAGCAATCATACAAGGACACATGTCATCAAGCCCATTTGGGAAATCATAGAACCATAGAATGGTTTGGGTTGGAAGGGACCTTAAAGATCATCTAGTTCCAACCCCCCTGACATGGGCAGGGAAACCTTCCACTAGACTAGGTTGCTCAAAGCCCTGTCTAACCTGACCTATTCCTGTTGAGTTTTGACTTTGTGACAGTTTATGACAGAATACTTCGTTGTTCTCTGCCCTACAGTCTTCACACAACTCCTCACATAACAGAAATCTCTACAGTTCAGTGCTCTCTTGTCAGACAGATGCCACAAAAAGCTCCCCATGATAACTCTGAAAGTCACAGGGGAATGAAGCCTCACCTAGTTTTCCTGTGAAAGAAAAGCTCCACAAGAGGTAGGCAATGTCAAGAGAAGTCCCGTTCAGAAATTCAAGCAGCTCGTGTAGATAGAAAAGTATAGTCTGTACTATACAAAACAACTCAAAATGCAAAAAATGCATTCAAACGCTCCTTAGGTTTATGTTTGGCTTTCCCAAAAGTATTCGACTCGCAGTCTTTGCATTAGACTTTTCCAGATATCTCAGACGCAGACTTCTTCCATACTTGGCTCTGGACATGATACAAGAGAGATTTTGTGTTATATAAGATACAAGAAAGTCTTCTCCTCCAGACCAATCACCAAAACGGCAATTTTAAGAAGAAATGAAACTAAATGAGGCTGTGAATCTTCCCAGAGAACCATCTTGATGCTGTTAGTTCATCTTCATCTGTAACAGCTTTGGGTTTAAAGAGACACATATATTTCCAAAGAAAGCCATCTGAGAGTTAAAATAGCCCTGCAAAGAAGTGGGAGAGCTATTTGCAGTAGTGGAAGCTCTTAAATGGCAGGATCACTCTGCCTTGGGCTATGTGTGCTACAGCTCACACAACCCCTGCCTTGTAACAGCAACTTTGGAGAGATATTTTCTCAGTGTGCAACCAGTGGCAAGCACGGCCTCCTTTGCCTCAGCCAAGGCAGCAGAGTAAGTGCTGGCAGGTTCCTGCCATAGAATGGTCCAAATTATGTGACAATGCCAATCTAATTGCCTGTCCTTTCTAAACAGCTTTTGCCCACAATTAGCTGGATGAAGGTAGGTCAGTCTGTGGTAGAGAGATCTCTGTGAGACTGAGCTTGGTATTGGGAGAGAACAACAGGACAAGAAGTTAATAATGATCTTTTGTAATAATTATGTTGTCCTAGGGCTGCTAAGACTGTCTCTTTTACTGTGGACTCACTCACCAGCATCTTAGGGCTGTGCTCCATCTTGCCCTGCACTGCCACTTAGAGATGAGTAATAGCTGATCTCTGCACTGTAGAAAGAAAACCCAGTCTTGTTATGTTCTTCTCTATACCTGCAGAGGAAACTTGTCACCTCTTGAAAAGTGATGACACTTGCTGTTTGAGTGCTAACCTCTGTCAGTGGTTGGAACTGCCAGGACTTGAATTGGTGGCAACGATTCACAGCAAGGGCCTGGTGTCTTACACCTGATGCCGCAGGCAGAAGCAGAAACAAGGAGGTTATGCTGCCCTTCACATTGCTTGTGGGGGACTCCATGGATGGTATGAAGCCTTGCCATTTCTCTTCTATTACTCAACTAGTTGAACGCATGGTTCCCACTGAAACTTAAACCTGGGTGCAGTTCTCAGCGTATTTTATCTATGGGGAAGCTACAAACAGGCAGTTCCACCCTGTACTGACTGTGAAATCTTGAATGTTACTCCTTTGGCCCCGTAAATCCTTTGAATAGTATCCTCCAGAGTTCAGGAGGACACAATAGCACTAGGAAGGAAGGGAAAAAAAGAGAGGAAAGGGAGGAAAGACTGAAACAATGAAGGGAGCAAGGAAGGACAGGCTCCAGCCTATGCCAGAAGGGCACATCTATCTGATCTCAAGGGGCTTGCACTATGGAGCACTGGTCTGATAACTGGGACTGCTCTCTTGACATTGACTGCTGTAAAATCTGTCAGCATAGATAGATTCACTGTTGTGAGTGGAAAACAGGCCAGAGGAATGCGTTTACTTGCCAGAGGTCCACGCCCAATGATGCTACCTAGGTGGGCTGCAGAGCATCCCAGCATTGCCAACACACAAGTCAATGGTTTGAAACATTCTAATTTCTTTAACCTCTCACTTCCAAACCACAAGGCCTAAGAGGGCATTTTTTCCCTAGCTACCTAGATCCCTTGAAGCAGTGAAATAGTAACTGTCTCGTGTACCTGCTAGACCAAAGTAACTCTATCTTAATTTGCTGGGGAAGGAAAAAGCTGACAGATATTCATCAAGTTTGGCAGCTTTTCTCCATCCCTCTCCATTCACTTTGTTTCCTTAAGGATTTACTCGAACGTATCACAGGGCTGTAGAGTCAAACTTCTATTTGCAACTGCACATCTCCAGGTATTTTATGGCTCAACCTGTAAAGTCAAACAAGCCCTTTTCATGCAGGTGGATTTGCCACCTCTGTGACAGCCAGTCTAATTCACTAAAGAAGCAAGCTGCAAAGAGAGAACACATCCAGCCCTGCATGAACACAATGGTTGACATCAAGAAAGACATGGGAAGAAATAAGCCAAGGAAATGAGGAAACCTTTTAGACACTGGAAATATAACAACTAGTTATGGTAGCAAACTTAAAAGCAGCAGATTGCCTGCTTTGCCTATGCCAGAGAAGGCAGGATTAGCTGTCCTAGCACGCCAGCAGCGCAGACAACCAATACTCGGTCCCTCCTGTTGTCCTTGCAGCTACTGAAGGAAGGGTTGGGAATGCAAAGCACCTACTGACAGTCAGAAGCAGCAGGGGTCCTCTCTTTTTCAGTTTCCCAGCAGCTCAGCAAGTGTATGATGGGCCACAGCACATACACACATACATTACTGAAAGTAATATGCTGAAGTATATAATATTTAAGATAGTAACATTTTAAGGCATAGTAACAGAAAAATAGTTATTGGTTAACTGGTTTTCATAAACTGTTCTTAGTGTGTAAATGCTTTGCAGCCAGTGAACAGCACAGAAAAGCTATACACCAGACAAGCTTTTTTCTTTCTAAATTCAGGCTATTCAGCCATGCAGCTTCCATTTGGTAGACTCATTCTCATCAAATGACTTGAAAGCTCCAATCATAGCAGTTACATCAAAGACCCCTGGAATGACTTCTATTCTCTGGTGATCACATCGTTCTGATAGATTTCCAAAATAATACTGAAAAAATAAAGCTCTAATATATTCTCTTCACTGAACCACATTAATTACAAGTAGCTGCTCAATACTGAAATTTAATTTTGATATATCATATTGTCAGACCACATACTTCACAAAGTTTTATCACTATATCACATGCAGTAGAATGCATGGTGATGCTATCAGTACGTAATGACCAAAGCTACAAAGTATATATAAGACCACACAGATGCATAAATAATGTATCATTTCCTGAATTTGATTCTGATGTACAGTTTCACCAACACAAGCCTGAACAGAGGTGTGGTATTAATTTCTCCATTTTGCATGCAGGAACACATGAGAAATACAGTACCAAATGAAGTATGTGAGGGTCAAATTCCATCTATCGGAAACTTTTCAGAAACCCATTATATTAAGCAGATCACAGCAATATTGATATTTTGCACTGTAAATTAGACCTGCCTATAAATATGGGATGTGGGGACATTGAGGCTGTTGACAGAAATCAGTACTTCTCTTCATAGTTTTTCATGGTCAGATCTCATAGAGTAATTTTTAAGTCAAGCATCAAACATGCTTTGTGGTCTTTAATACAAACTCCCTAGTATGTAACATATCATTTAACCAGATCAGCTAATTATCTCTCAAATCTCAATGCCTGAACTCAATAACTTACAAACTGTAGAAATTCTCCTAGAATAAGTTTTAAAGTCTATATTAAATTAAAAAAGAGATAAATAACCTTTTCGTTCAAACTGTAAGGAGAAAGATGTTGATGTAGTAACTGTGCAGTAATGATTATGAGACCCATCAAATACTGTGTTCCTCTATGTTACATCTAAGTACATAAAAATTATCTCTAATGAGGATTCAAAATTCATCACTACCTTCTTAGACAGTCTATCCTCATCTTTTCAACCCACTACATATGCATGTACAGAGAGTTAATAAGATCAAATCACACTCGTTAAATGATCTGAGTATGCAACCAGATTATGATCTCCCTGTTGATACAGAATTGCCCTCCCAGACAGTGGAATTTAACGTGAAGTGCTACATCTAGAAACACAGAACAAGAAGGGGCTCGTGGGTCTCAAATGCTGTTGCCTTCAATCTCCACACTGGAAAATATGGCAGAAGTTCTGTATACAATTGAATGCTCTTGAAAAACTAAATTGAATTTGCAGAGCTAATCACCAAGATATGTAGAGGTCTGCCCAGACTCTCCTCAAAACAAGCTCACAATCCTTGTGAGGAGAGGGCTTCAATTTCTATTGCTTTTTCCTCACCCTAAATATTATTTCATGGGTGCAACTGAAGTCGGTAGTGCATCCTCTGGTAGGAAAGGAGAGAGCCATAAGCTCTTTAAGGGACAAGATTCATTATGCATCGTGGAAGACACACAGTGAAACAGAAGTGTACTTTAGTTGATGATTTTAAAACACAGATGAAAATTAAACTCACTTGTAAATGTTGAGAGTTGTCAGTCATATTGTCCTCTCGCCTACGAACTTCTTCCAACAACTGTGCATTCTTCTTTTTCTCCATTTGCTGATTGTGCTTCAGATTGGCAACCTTCTTGTTTTGGTCCTTCATATGTCTAAGAATTGTATACACATATGCATTAGTGATAATGACTGCAAGCACTTCTTTTTCTCTATAAATTCACTTGCAACTATGACACAGGACATCGATTCTCCAACAGATACAATTATTCCAAGTATCAGATGAAAACAATAAAACTTCATCTTGTTTTCAAGCTGTCGTATCAAAACAGCTTTATTTAACACCATCAGATTATACCCTAGTAAAGCAATTTGTCAGGCCTGCAAGATTTCTTCTTTTTTATCATCTGCTCACAAATAATCCTGCATGATCTAAGCACTACACAGAAAAATTGTTGTAATAGAGGGAGATTATCCAACAACCTTTACACACTCAGTGAGTTCAGGAACAATTTTAATGGGTGCTTTAAGTAGCATAAATTTCAAAGGAAGGTGAAGGTGATGACTCCTGTATGTTCTGAAATTCTATTTTTGAAAACCTGGACTATAAATACAATGTTTGTGAGGATTAAAGTGTAATGAGCTAGGTCAGGCCATAGATATGCCATGAAGAATAAAAGATGCCTTTACAAATAGCTTTCTACATAACAAAATCATCACATTTCTATCTTTTTAATAATTAAATTTCTTTCTACAAAACATTAAAAAATTTGAGTAACTGCTAATGAAAATGAAACAATCTTTACCACCGTTATGTATTTTCTTTTTTTAAGACTGTACATAAGTAAAAAAATATATATTAAAACTGTTTCAATGTTTAATTATCTTTTTCTGTGGATCTTCTTCAATAAGTTACCAGAAGCTTTCTTGATTCTGATACTTAGCACACATCCTTTTAAGAAAGAAGGCAAGCTAATTTTGCCTGGCAGGCACTGAAAATATATCCTTGAAGTAATGCTTTCTACCTGCTTGGATTCTTCAGTATTATTTCCCTACTTTCTCTGACTTTGAGGAATTTTCTCCCTTTTATCTATATAAAAATAAAGTCATGTGCAAATTCCTAATGAGATCTACTCACTAATCCTGTTTTGGCAAATGAAGAGAATATTATTCAATGCCCAGCAGGATCACTGAAAATGCCTCTGTTGCTTCCATGTTAGAACTTTCAGTGAAAAAAAAAAAAGCTATAGAATACATTTCTTGCACTGATTTTATTATGCTAAAGAAACTAGGTCGTTTTATATTTACTTATACCACTATTTTCTTTGTCCTACCACTGTTTTTTTCACTACTTATTTATATTAAAAAATTACCACTCAATCTCTAACCAATAAATGTTGCCATGGTATTAAAAATTCTTCGAAGACACTTCATACAGAAGTTTGTAGGTATAGTACATAACAGATAAGCTAATCTATTCTTTTTAAAAAAAAAGTAACTTCAACTTGCCTAGAAAACTAAAAGTGGGTACAACTCATTCAAATAAAAATCTTTGCTTTTTAAAAGAATTACATCAAGCTCAAAGACAATTTTTTAAGAATACAAGTATGAATTCTTCTGTTTGAAAAACAGATTTTTCCTATAGTTGTGTTCAAGTGTTTGCATCAGCCTGTTAAGGCACAAAAATATAGGTTAGCCTAACTGATTGTCTGTTTACAGCATGTCTTTTGTACTCCGTTTTTAATGTTAGAAATAAAATTTCTGAAGACTGTACATACCGTAAGAAGAATCCCCAACAAGACACTGTTACCACAAAATAGACCAGTTTCAGGAAAAAAAAAAAAAATCAAAAGCCATCCTTTTTAGATTTATTTTTAGTACAACCATTTTTATATTACTTAAAACACCTACTGGAAGATGAACAGCTGAGCTTCTCCAGCTTGAACCAACTCTAGTTAGGAGTTAGTATTTTGCAATGCTAGAGACTTTGAGACCTTAGTCTGCACCTTCCTTAAATATTCTCAAATATTTGTTATAGTACTCAGATATAGCTCTAAAACCATACAGCTAAGGCTCCCTCCTCTTTAGAAATAGCTTTAACAAAATGACAAGACTCCTAAGAAGCAACACCTTTTTCCCAGGTCAAAGAGACCACCAGTACAGCACTACATCAGTCTCTTGGTAGACTTCTGGCATCATGTTTAAATGCCCAAATTAAGTTCACTTGAGAACGAAAAAAATACCACATGATGGTAAGAAGAAACCTGCCTACAGGAGATCTACCTCAGTAGGCCTGGGAGCATAACATAGATCACCAATACTCTATCATAGTTTTAAGAAAGGTTAATTTTCTGAAAGAGATAGCAGTCTGCCACAGCTAACCAATAATAAACAACATGACAGTGCTAAAAACAGCAGGGATATTTCTGTTAGAGTTACACTGATAGATTAATAAAAAAATCAACCAGAAACTGCATGTTCCAGTTTAAACTTGTTTCTAACTCTTAAAGAATATAACGGGTTTAGCTATTGAGTTGTCTATTTTTTACTAAAATTCCTCAAGAATTTAGAGTAATGCTCTTTGACTTTCTAAATAAAGTATTCAAATATATGTCAGGTGCTCTGTGCAACTCCAAGCGAAAATCAGTTCTCCTTCATGGGTCCATGTCATAACTGTAAGCACAGACCTAATCAGCATAAAACCAAAACGAATATTAGAAAAAATGACTTTCAGAACTTCATATATAAATGTGGTATTTGGCAGAAATTTTGCTGGTATAATATGACTTTGTGCTGTTAAAATGTAAAATGGTTTCCAGTCTAATGCTGAGTAAATGATAAATTAATTTATATTTAATCTCTGTAAGAAGTTCAATTTTGTGCCAATGCTAACTGCTTCTTTCATCACCCTTCCCTCTCACAACTTCCCATTTCAGTTTCTGTCTAATGCCACACTGAAAAGCAGAACATGGTAAAGCTGCAAAGGAGAACATCTGGCGCCTGTGATATGCAAAATCTTGAAGAGAAAGAAATAAAAGAAAGCTGTGTCATAGCCTCTCTTTCTTCCACAACTGACTACATGCCTATGGAAATGAAAATAAAATGCTACCATTAAAAAGCCTGGCTGAGTAGTTTTCTTTTAGGCCTGCATTAAAGGTACAGGAGGAGTTCATCCTTTTTTTTTTTTTTTTTTTGAACAGCAAATGTATCAAATGTAATCCTTGATCCAGTATATTTTTTCAGTGTGCTTGCTGTGGTATTTTTTCATATGGCTCAGTTTCTAAAATGCTTTTGAATAAAATACAACATTAGAATAAGTAAAAATTATTCACAAGAAATAGAAAAATATTTGGGACCATTATACAATCAACACAAAATATCATATGCCATTACCATGTAGGATATAAAATATCCACATAGTTTACTAGTAGCGATGCTGCTATGCATAGTTGAGTCTACATTATTCTTTACTATGAGGAACTAGTTTCATGTGTTCTGCTACACTTTTTCAATTTAAAGCTGTAAGACTACAAAATTCATTAGACAGAATAAAATAAATCAAACATTCCTGTTTAAGATATATGTCCTCAAAAACTGAAAGGTATGCTGCAGGCGGTAGAATTGATTACCATCACACATTAATCATATTCTGGTACTAAAAAATATGCAAAAGTATTCTTTGTTTGATAGTGTAACTGCCCCAAAACAGTAAAACAAAGTCCACAGCTTTCTGATTTTCCACATTGTTATCGTTCATTTTGAAGCTGGGTATCTATTATCTTATAGCGAGCTAAATTCTTTAACCAGTGAACTATTTGTTACCGAATGCTACTCTGTTTGTAATTTTACAACCTTAACGTAACTGGAAAGCCAGTCTTCAAACTAGTTCTAAAGCACCCAAGTCCAGAGCACACTGAAGTGGCGCCAACACCACATTTGGCTTAAAGAAATGATGTTCTGAGCTCATAACATTCAAGGAGGAAAAAAGCAGTGTAAAAAGCAGCATGGAGGACTAACACTTTACACAGATGCTTAATCTTGGTGAAACATTAAAATGTCTGGTCAACAACACTTTCTCAGATAAAAAAATTAAATTTCTGTTTGTGTTCCTTATGGCTATAGCCAGTCAGCAATTGTCATAAAGTATCTAGCAGCTTCATCTATGAACAAAAAAGAATTCAGAGTGAAGCTAAGCTGTCTTCAAAATGGACTTGAATGTAAGCACACCTTGAATAGAAAAAAAAAAAAAAAAGAAAAGAAACAAGTTCTGTTCCATTACACAGGTACAACCTGAAGGACTTCATGGCACGTTCTAACTCATTCGATCATTCAATACAGAGAAGCAGAACCAAGCAAACACGCATGTCACATAAATACTAGATGACAATGATATTGGAAGTTCATAAAGAAGAGATGAAGAACACCAGGTGTAAGAAAAAATTCTAAATAAAATCTGATTCTTCTAGTACATTAGACATTCTCTTATTCCTAATGAAAATATTATATAAAATAACATACTTCTCTAGAAACTACCTTACTGCACATTAAACTGAGTTTATGAAATTTTTAAACCTAGATCAAGCCATTGCTCTGAACTGTAAATACACAGTACACTGCAGCTTTGCTACTGCAGTAAAAATCGGCCAGTGATAATTCCCCATTCCTCTTCCTGAATATTCTCCACCTGGGATAATTTTCGATAACCCTTCTCAACACACAGAATGCTCCACAGCCATTCATTTCCACCTCAACTGGGCATTAGACTTAAAATCAGGTATCTAAACCATAGCAATGCCAACATTTGTTTTCCTCAGCATCCAACAGCTTTTTCAGAAAAATGGCCTTAGATTACCAACACAGGAATCAATAGACTGTAGCAGCTCAGATTTCTGATACTGCTGAAGAACCATCAAACAATGACTGCTAAATCTTTAGGTACACTTAGAATATCATAGATTCGAACAAGGCCGGTGAAGGGAGAAGACATAGAATTCTTATACAGCCCTATAGCTTGGTCTCTTATCAAGATTGGACTAAAGAACCTAGAGCCCCTTAAACCTTGCTGTGCAAACAGCAGACGCTCTTACATCAATTACACTACCTGTTCATTCTATTTATTTTTTTAATTGAAGTTTCTTTGTAAGAAATAGACATC